TACCACCTCAGTGATGATGCAAGCGGCTCGGCGACGTCGCTGCACAACACACGCTCCTCCTGACGGCGTCGTTCTTCTTCTATTCGGGCCCTCTCCTGTGCACCAATGCCGCGTGAGAGTCACGTCATGAAGAGCCCCCGTCAACGCGCACACATGAAAGCCCCAAAACAAACAGCCGCCACAGAACCTCCTCTGCTTTGGCTTGCTCCTGCACAACAAATGTAGGCACTGATTGTTTGACCTAGCAGGCTTGCCGAGCTGAACGCAAACAAGTAGTGGATTGCACTTCGGTGCCCGCCTCTTGTCTGCGCATCTCCTCTGCTGCCTGCATCTTTCGCATAGCGCACAGAGCAAAAGGCACCCAGAATCGAAGACTGAGTGCTGCATGTGCTGTTGCCCATGATACCTCCTGTCTCTGCCGCTCCTCCTCCTCCAAGCGAGCAGACTCCTGCATCGACTGACCATATCGACTGCAGAAGGTTTGGTCAATGCCGCTAAGTACAGCACACGACAACTTAAATTGGTACCAGTAGTACGACCACGTGCCTCTTCTTCCGCGCGGGCCCTCTCGAGCGCCTCTTCTTCCTGCGAGCACAAGTCGGAACCTACCACCTCAATGATGATGCAAGCGTGCTCGGCGACGTCGCTGCACAACACACACTCCTCCTGACGGCGTCGTTCTTCTTCTATTCGCGCCCTCTCCTGTGCACCAATGCCGCGTGAGATTCGCGTCATGAAGAGCCCCCGTCAACGCACACACATGATAGCCCAAAACAAACAGCCGCCACAGAACCTCCTCTGCTTTGGCTTGCTCCTGCACAGGCACTCATTCAAGCGTTCAGGTCCCACCCTCCTCCCTTGGTGAGAATGGGCTCTTTTCCTTTGCGATCCGATGTGCTGCCGCAATCACTGTCTTCCCGCAGCTTCCACACCACTCCACTTAGGGCGGGTGGGCGGGAGATAAAAGATAGGTGCAGCCTCCGGGCTCCGGACATTTTGAGCCCTCGTGGCTGATGGGATGGCATGTTTCAGTCCCTCCCAGCCGCCCTTGCTTATTTCGTGCCACTCACACATTTCATGTGTTTCACGGCCCTCATTCAAGCATTCAGGTCCCACCCTCCTCCCTTGGTGAGAATGGGCTCTTTTCCTTTGCGATCCGATGTGCTGCCACAATCACTGTCTTCCCGCAGCTTCCACACCATCTGGCTTGCCGCGGGACTTGTCCCTTGGTTTTCCAAGTCGCCGACGAATTTCCGGTGTGGCCGCCAGGAGGTGCACGACTTTGGACCTTCCCGAGGTCCTCACCCATCTTGGCTTTACCGACTGGAGGTCCTCGACGAAGACGGCCTTTGTTCTGTCGCCCTCATCGTGGTGTGGCTGCTCCTCGGCCACCTCATGGCGGACGTGCTCCTTGTCGGTCTGGGGCATGGGTTTTTCGAGCTCGTCCGCTTTATTCATGGGGCGGCCTTCCCAGGCTTCTTCACCGTACTGGAAGACGAGGTTCGAGTGCCATCTGCCCAGATACGTGACCTCGGCGATGGTGAGGCCCGCCCTGACGTAGAACATGGTGCCTGAGCGCCTCGGGCTGTGGCCGCGTAGTGTTCTGCCTGCCGCTCTGGACCATGCTGCTACCAGCTTCTCCTTGACGACTTTGTTCCCTTCCGTGGAGCAGGCTACCCAGGAGTGGTTGTCGCGGAAGCCGGGGAGGGCCTTGTCCACCTCAGCTGCGAGCTTCTTGACGAGCTCCACTGGACAAGTTGCCGGTGAGGATCTGCACGTGCAGCCGAGGGTGCGTTTCACTCCCTTGGCTGCCTGGTCCGTCTTGGATTTCTTGATGAGCAGGGTGACCTGAGAGTCGTTCCACACCAGGTTCCACACCAGGTCGCTCCATTTCATCTGTTCCAGCTCGCACCTTCTAAGCATGAACGCTAAGGCCAGGCAGTAGGTGAGCATCGACTCGTTGGGGACGAGGTCGTGGATCACCGCATGCAGGGGGAAGTCCTCGGCCTGGAACTCCGGGGCTCGGTTGGCCTTGGCGTCCCTCGCCAAGGCCCTCTTCGTAAGGTCAGTGCGGGCGTGACCGGGTGGTCCCTCTCCACGTGGGCAAGCTTGAGGACGCCCAGGTATTGCTCACCCGACTTGTAGCCCGCCGCCTGTAGTGATAAGCCGAACTCCAGCACAAGCTGCGGGGTGAGCGGAAAGGCCTGGCTTCCGGAGGTGAGGGCAGAGAGGAGCTCCACCACGCTGCTTCCTTCCTCGCTTGAGGCGCCTTGTTGGAGTCCGCATAGAACTTGGCCTTCAACTCATCGACCGCGTCGGCGCGGACCTCCTTGTCGCGGGCGACGTTGAGGGTGTTGAACTTAGCGCCGTTGTTCGTGGCCGGGAGCAGGCAGGTTTCCGCCGCAACCTTGGGAAGTGAGCGGCTTGCTTTCTCCCGAGTCTTCTGCTGAGGTAAGGGACCCGTGAACATTGCCGGTGACCTGCCCAAGGTGGCCTTGTGCTTTCTGTCGTCGCCTAGCCGCCGTAGGGCCAGGTCTGCGAAGTCTGGTTGCCGTCGGTGGCCGCCATTCTTTCCATGAGTCGTGACAGTGGGGTGGTCTGTCGGCCCAAGGTGAGCCCATATCCCGCATCCGGTTCCCAGGTGGGGCCCTCGGGTGCTTGAGTTGCCGCCTCTCTCCTGGTCGTCTCTTCCCCGACGTCCCGCTCCCATGTGGAGGCTGGTCGGTGTCGTAGAGCTCGCCTGCCGTCGTCGACACGCGCCCCCTGCCACCCAAGCATGTAGCTGTCGGAGCGGGCCTGGTGCATGTACAAGTTGCCTCGTGGTGTCCGGGATCTGGGCCTCCTCGCTGTGTCCTCGGGCTCTCGCTTGCTTCCGGTCGTCCTCCAAAACGTTCTTGATCTGGTTGGAGCGGCGGTCCTCCTTGAAGGCGTTCTTGATCTGCTTGGTGCGGCGGTTCTCGTTGAGCTCTTCGTTGTCGGCACCATAGGCCAATCTGTATCAACCGCACTGCCCAGTACTTTTGCTGCACCGCCAAATTGATCTGCAGGCATTACCCTTTCAGCGCAGCCCAGGAAGCTCCCGCTGCAGAGGCGTCGTGCGACCGGGCTAAGCCTAACGAAAAGTCGCTCTTCTGGAGCTTCTTTGGATTGGCCAGCTTGACCCCTTGGAGCTGACTTGGCATGGAGCCCCTGGTCTCGGGCCTAGACAACCAATCCGCCAAAACGTTCATCTTGCCCTGCACATGAGAGAGTTCCAGGTCGCCTATTTGCAGCTTCTCGAGGAGCAGGGCCATCTCCGCCGCCAGGTAGTTGAGCGCCGGGCTTGTGGAGGCGGACTTCTCCAAAATTGCGAGCGCCACTGTGGAGTCCGACCGGATGGCCACGCCTATTTTGATCGATGCCATCAGCTGGCCCCACTCGCGCAACGCCAAGAACACGGCCAAGGCCTCCTGGAAGCTCTGGCTCTTGTGCGACTTGTACAAGAACCCCAGCAAGGCCGCGTCGTCTTGTTCCACAGGGTACTCGTAGGCCTTGAGGGCTGTCCATTGAGACTGCGCCGTGGCTGGGATCAGAAGCAAACCTCCGCAACCTTGCGGGGAGGCGTCCGTCACGATCATGAGTGATGCCGGCCGCTTCCACAAGGATTGGGTGGACCGGCCGCCTCTCCTTGAAAAGGGTTGCCAGCCAGGCCCGCGCCAGCTCGAAACGCTTGACCGGGATGAGGAAGTCCTTGGGCCTGCTGTCCGGCCGGGCCGCCCTCCTGGTCGCTTCTGTCCCTTCACGGATTTCGTTCTCGTGGGCGGCGATGGCGCCGTAGACGATGGAGACCGCCCACCGGGCCCTCCTGTATATTCCTGCCGCCCACGTCAATTTCCCGGCAAAGGTGCGCAGCTGGCTCACGGGGATCATGCCTCCACTCGCCCACTTGTCCAGCTTCTCAAGGAGTTCGTCTCGGAGCTTCTGCGGGACCTCGTTGTCTAAGACCCCTTCTCTCCAACGGAGCGTGAAGCAAACACCGATCCAGGTGATCTTGCATCCTCTCGCCCCTTTGTGCAGGCCAGCCTTATACCCAGCGCGCCCAGGGTGAGGAGGACGAGGCTCAAGTTTCTCACCCGGCGCTCCCGCGAACCCACGAGTGCGGTGAGCGGGTCGTCTAAGTAGGTCGCCAGCTGCAGCTCTGCCTGCCAAAACATGCCCTGCAGCAACCTGGTAAGCAAAGCGGACAGCCGACACATGATCAAGGGCGCACACTTATGCCCGAAAAACATGGCCACGAAGACGTAGCAGTTCTTGCCGTCCCCCGCCGGAGACAGGCATTGCTCGTGCTCGGCCGGGTGCACTGGGAAGTGGGTGAAGGCGTCCGTGAGGTCCGCTGCCACCAGCTCTGAGCCCCGCTCCCTCGTGGGCAGGCGCTTGGCCCTATACCATTCCAGGAGCTGTGGTTCTTGTGCCTTGAGGTCTGCTCCCATGGCGTAGACGTCCTGCGGGCGGGGTAGCACGATGCGCTCCGGGCATCGGGCCTTCCGATTTGCTCCCGACCGGGGCGCGTCTACGATGACCCGGCGCTTGACCGTGCCGTCTGTCTTGGTCTTGACGAGGAGGCCCAACTTCGAGATCACCGGGGCCGAGAAATAATTCCTGGCCTGCTCTTCGGTGATCTTCTTGACATAGCCGAGGTCCATGAGCCGCTTCATCTCCTCCTCTGAATCCCCCGGGTTCTCAGTGAAGGAGCCGTAGTTTTGTCGCGCTTCCCATGCCTGCGTCTCGGCCTTGGCTTCCTCCCAGGCCTCTGGGTCCTCCTCCTTCGAGGGAAAGATTCCCACCGAAGGTGTCGGTACATTCGCCCCTAGAGGGGCCCCTTCTCGCAACCAAGCAAGTACGGCTTGGTCGGGGTCTGTGGCCTGTCTCGACCACGCTTCTAGCAAGGCCACATTGACCGGCGAGTCGTAGTGGAGGAGGCTCTTGAGTTGCACGTTCGCCGGCTTCGAACACACGCCGAAGTGGGCTTCCATCCACTCCTCAATGTAGTTCCGTGCCGTAGCGCTGACCTGCTGCCACTGCGCCCGGTACTTTCGCCACAAACTCGTCGAACAGCTGGTCGACCTCCCGCCCCACGGTTCTCAACCCCGGGACATGGTCCAGGGCCCAGGCTGGCTTCTCATCCCTCCAATGGCTTCCTGATTTTCGCGGTCCCGCCTGGCCTTCTTGGTGTCCTGGAGGCGCAAACTGCCAAAGCGCCCCGGGCCGCCTGTCCAGTGGGCTTCCTCTATGACCTCGGTGTGCTCGCTATGCTGCTCGGCTGGCCGCTTGCGAGGCGGTTGCGCCCCTGCCGTCCATTGTTTGACAACCAGCTTGGCGTAGGCGTGGCACAGGCCAATCGGGCAGCCGGCTGAATCCTTCGCCGCCGCTTCTCCGACGACCTTCGGGTGATAGGCTCCCTTCCCACAGGTGCAGGTGGCGGTGAGGCTCGAGAGGCCCCGAAGCTTGCCCACGAACCTCTGCGGCTTCTTGTACGGCTGCCCCTCTCGCGCTGGGTCCGCGTAGACACAGTTGTTGAAGTCGGCGAACTCGATCCCGGGCCCCACGGTCCACTTCACGATCTCCGGGAGGTAGTAAGCAGACCCTGCAAAAGGATGGTTGGTTTCCGGAGGGTTCTCAATGGAAACCGTTCTTGGCGTGCCCGCGCTGTCCTTGGCCTGGTTCCTCTCGACGGCTTCCAGGATGCGGACCGTGGTGACTTCGAGAAGAGTTCCCCTGTCCGCTTCATCCTGTTGGGCCCTGGTGTTCGAGGGGAGGCCATAGATGTGCTGCCTGGAACGAACCGGTCCTGGCTGTGGTGAAAGTCGTGCAAGGGAACCCGGAGTGGGCGCCGTGGTACTTCCCGGCCTCCGCCTTTCTCAAGATTTCGCGGACCAGGGCTGGGTCTGTCAGGTCGTCTCCTTTGCAGAGGTCATAGGACTCGATGGTGACCTCGAGCCCGGCCTTCGCGGCTTCCGCCGCCACTGCTTCTCCGAGCTTATCTCTGGGCCCGCAGAAAGCAAAGCGCAGCGCTAGCCGTCATGCCTCGTGAGGCTCCCGCACCCATGCGCTGCGCTGCTCTAGGCTCCCCTCCTCCCACCGTCGTGCCTAAAGGGGCTCCCGGGTGGAGGTGTCCTGCCTTTACTGCACCACCGAATCTTGCGCACACTGCTCTCCCTAAGCTCTGCTGCACTGCCTCAACGGGAGTGTGAAAGAGAGCAAGCAGAGAGAGTGGAGGGAGAAGAGAGAGCGAGATGGGACTGCAAACAACACGCATTTGACCTGGCTCACGATCGCTGCGGGCACTCCAGGCTGCGGTGGCCCGGGCTCAATAAGCAGATCCTACACTTGTGAATGCGTTTGATCTTCCCTTTGCACCCATCCCAGCTGAAGCACAAATCATCCCCGGCCTGGTCCTTGGACTTCAGGGAGGCGGCCTTGTCGGTGCCCTTGCCCTCCTGCTTGCCCTTGCCACCGGTGATGGCCCGGAGGTTCTTCAGCTCGTCCTTCTCGGCCTGGACCTTGCGCTTCTTGGCTGCTCGCTTCTCCTTGGTCGTTTTCTTGTGGCCCGTCGGGTCCGTGCTCTCGCCGCTCGCCTGGGAGGCCGTGAAGACTTCCTCTGCTGCTCGGGGTGCTCCCCTGCCACCAGCTGCCACCCAGGCGTTGGCCGGCGACCGGACTTGATCTTCCCAGAACGCAGTGTCGCCCACCAGCTGATGTAGTGCTGCAACCCAGGGCCTCTTTGCGTCCCAGAGCTCCGGTGCCGCCTTGCCCGCAGCAATGTCCGTGCTTATGCGAAGCCGGACCCGGGCCCATTTCCCGCCTCTGGCTTTCTCGTCCGATAGCACAACCAAATGCCAGGCTGTAGGATATAACTTGACCAAACGTTCCACGTGCCTTTCGTACAGCTGCAGTGAGGCCAGCGGCAAGATGTCCAGCATGATTGCAGCCGTCTGGAAAACTCGCCAGGCCGCTAACCACTGTGTCCAGGGGCTGGTCCCGGCAGCTCTTTTGCCATGTAGCCTCCGGCCCCATCTGGAAACCACGCCCTGAACTTGCTTGCGCGCAGGGCCCGTCGGCCGTACGGCTGCCAAACTCCCAGGTCCACATAGGGCGGCAGATCCAGCGTAAGCACTCTTTTGTTCAAAGCCGACAGCTGCTCCACAGTACAGTCCTCTTCTTCCTGGGGTGGGCCGCCCATGATCTTCAAGTACCGTTGGTACCAGCCGTCGGCCTTCGCCAGCGACTCCGGGACGAACTCGCTATCATCTGACTGGTCAATCACGGAGGACATCTTGATGCCCCTCTCCTTCAACGGTGCAGGTGCCGGGGGAGGTGCTGCATGTGTAGCATTGCCAGGCCTGGCCCAAGGGTCTACATCTTGCCAATCGTTGTAGTTTCCCCCTCCCCTGGTGTAGAGGATCCTGCCACACAAGCGCCACCACCAACCCAATCTGGACTGCATGAGCCGGTGACAAAGACGAAGGAGGCGCGCCCATGCGCGCCAACATGATGTTCTCGATGAGTGCTTCAGCCGGCAGCGCGCTGAGAATGCGCATGTCGGGCTGGCCAACTTGAATATGAAAGGCTTGCCAAGGGGCATCCGCAAGCCCATACCACAATCTTATCTGCTCCACCGTGTCGAAGCTCATAGCCTCCGCTTCCGCCGGAAAAAGGCTCATCGGTCCGCCTTCAAGCCATGACCCAGGGAACAGACAAGAAAGATAAAAGATAGGTGCAGCTTCCGGGCTCCGGACATTTTGAGCCCTCGCGTCTGATGGGATGGCATGTTTCAGTCCCTCCCAGCCGCCCTTGCTTATTTCGTGCAACTCACACATTTCATGTGTTTCACAGAAAAGTAAGCACTGATTGTTTGACCAAGCAGGCATGCCGAGCTGAACGCAAACGAGTAGTGGATTGCACTATTGCGCACGCCTCTTGTCTGCGCATCTCCTCTGCCGCCTGCATCTTTCGCATAGCGCACAGAGCAAAACGCACCCAAATCGAAGACTGAGTGCTGCATGTGCTGTTGTCCATGATACCTCCTGTCTCTGCCGCTCCTCCTCCTCCAAGCGTGCAGACTCCTGCATCGACTGACCACTATCGACTGCCGAAGGTTTGGTCAATGCCGCTAAGTACAGCACACGACAACTTAAATTGGCACCAGTAGTACGACCACGTGCCTCTTCTTCCGCGCGGGCCCTCTCGAGCGCCTCTTCTTCCTGCGAGCACAAGTCGCGAACCTACCACCTCAGTGATGATGCAAGCGTGCTCGGCGACGTCGCTGCACAACACACGCTCCTCCTGACGGCGTTGTTCTTCTTCTATTCGGGCCCTCTCCTGTGCACCAATGCCGCGTGAGAGTTACGTCATGAAGAGCCCCCGTCAACGCGCACACATGAAAGCCCCAAAACAAACAGCCGCCACAGAAC